CCACTCCTCCCTGCTGAGTGGCTGTCTTGGCACACCCAATATTCCCAGTTCTCCCTTCACGCCCTTGCTCTATAACCAACTCTCCATGCTTTATTCTATCCTGCAAGTGGATATTCTTTTATTTGGCTTTTTGGGTCATAACAGGCGATGCTAGGGGTTACTCCTGACACTAAAGCCAGGAATTACTCGTGGCATTGCTCGGAGACCATATAGAATGCTAGGGATCAAACCCAGGTGGGCCATATGCAAGGCCCTACCCACTGTACAGAGGTTACTCCTGGCTCTGCACTCAGGAATTACTCCTGGTGGTGCTCGGGGGACAATATGGGATTCTGGGAAACGAACCCGAGATGGTCGCGTGCAAGGCAAATCCCCTACCCGCTGTGCTATCACTCCAGCCCCACAAGTGGATATTTTTTTCCTTAAATTTTTATTAGTGAAACACCATGAGGTACAGTTGTAGACTTACAAATTTTTGTGCTTGGGTTTCAGTTATACAATGATCGAATACCCATCCCTCCACCAGTTCCCATTCTCCACCACCAAGGATCCCAGTATCACTCCCACCCCCCCAACCCCGCCATCCCAAACTACCTCTGTGGCAGAGCATTTCCTTTTGCTATCTCTCTCCTTTTGAGTGCTGTGGTTTGCAAAAGAGACATTGAGTAGCAATCATGTTCGGTCTATAGTCTACTCTCATCACACATCTTCCATCCTGGGAGGAACCTCCCAACACCCTTAATTTGGTGCTCCCTTCTCTATCTGAGCTGCCTTTTCCCCTAGCATGTGTGGCTGGCCTCAAAGCCATGGAGTAATCCTCCTGGTACTTATCTTGGCTATTCTTGGGTGTTAGTCTCCTATTTTATTACTTTATTTTCCCCAGATCAATGCAATCTTTCTATGTCTGTCCCTGTCTTTCGACTCATTTCGCTTAGCATGATACTTTTCATGTAGTTCCACTTATATATGAATTTTATGACTTCATCTTTTCTGACAGCTGCATAGTACTCCATTGTGTAGATGTACTAAAGTTTCTTTAACCAGTCATCTGTTCTTGGACACTCAGGTTTTTTATAAGATTCTAGCTATTGTAAACAGTGCTGCAATGAACAAACAAGTGCAGATGTCACTTCGACTATACTTTTTTGCCTCTCTTGGATATATTCCCAGGAGTGGTATTGCTCGGTCAAATGGAAGCTCAATTTCTTATTTTTTGAGGATGCTCCATACTGTTTTCCAAAAGGGCTGAACCAGTGGGCATTCCCACCAGCAGTGAAGGAGAGTCCCTTTCTCACCACATCTGCGCCAACACCATTGCTTTTATTCTTTTGGATGTGGGTCAGTCTCTGTGGTGTGAAATGATATCTCATTGTTGTTTTGATCTGGATCTCCCTGATGATTAATGATGTAGAGCATTTTTTCATGTGCCTTTTTGCCATTTGGATTTCTTCTTTGAGAAAGTTTCTGTTCATTTAGTCGCCCCATTTTTTGATGGGGTTGGATGTTTTCTTCTTGTGGAGTTCAACCAGTGCGTTGTATATCCTTGATATCAACCCCTTGTTGGATGTGTATTCGGCGAATATCCTTTCCCATTCTGTAGACTGTCTTTGTATATTGGTCACTGTTTCTTTGGAGGTACAGAAGCTTCTTAGTTTAAGATAGTCCTATTTGTCTGTCTCTGTTTTCACTTGCTTGGCCAGTGGTGTGACATCTTTGAAGATACCATTGGCTTCCATGTCATGGAGCGTTTTGCCAACTTTGTCTTCAATGTACCTTATGGATGCCAGTCTGATGTTGAGGTCTTTAATCCATTTTGATCTTACTTTTGTACATGGTGTTAGGCAGAGATCTGAGCCCAGTTTTTTGCATGTAGCTGTCCAGTTTTGCCAGCACAATTTGTTAAAGAGGCTTTCCTTGCTCCCCTTCACATTTCTTGCCCCCTTATCAAAGATTAGATGATCATATGCTTGAAGAGAGATGTCAGTATATTCGACCCTGTTTCATTGGTCTGCAGCTCTGCCTTTGTTCCAGTACCATGCTGTTTTAATTATTACTGCTTTGTAGTAGAGTTTGAAGTTAGGGAGGTTGATTCCCCCCATTTTCTTTTTCCCAAAAATTGCTTTAGCTATTCGTGGGTGCTTATTGTTCCATATGAATTTCAGGAGTGTTTGCTCCATTTCTTTGAAGAATGTCATGGGTATCATTATAGGGATCACATTGAATTTGTACAATGCTTTGGGAAGTATTGTCATTTTGATAATGTTAATTCTCCCAATCCATGAGCAGGGGATATCTTTCCATTTCCTCGCATCCTCTTTTATTTCCTGAAGTAGCATTTTGTAGTTTTCTTTGTACAGGTCCTTTCCTTAGTTAAGCTGATTTCTAGGTACTTGATTTTCTGGGGCACACTTGTGAACGGGATTGTTTTTTTCATGTCACTTTCTTCTCTCTCACTATTTGCATATAGGAAAGCCATGGACTTTTGGGTATTGATTTTGTAGCCTGCAACTTTACTATACAAGTCTATTGTTTCTAGGAGTTTCTTGGTAGAGGTTTTAGGGTTCTCTAAGTATAGTATCATATCATCTGCGAATAGTGAGAGCTTGATTTCTTCCTTTCCTACCTGAATGCCCTTAATATCTTTTTCTTGCCTAACCGCTATTTCAAGTACTTCCAGTACTATATTGAACAGCAGTGAGAGAGTGGGCATTCTTGTCTTGTCCCTGATCTTAGAGGGAAGGCTCTTAGTTCTTCCCCATTGAGGATGATGCTTGCTATAGGCTTGTGATAGATGGCTTTAACTATATTGAGCAAAGTCCCTTCTATACCCATTTTGGCAAGGGTTTTCATCAAAAACTGATGCTGGATCTTGTCAAATGCTTTCTCTGCATCTATTGATATGATCATATGGTTTTTATCTTTTCTTTAGTTGATATGATGGATTACGTTGATTGATTTCCGAATGTTGTTGAATTCTATTTACTAGTATTTTGTTGAGGATCTCCGCATCTGTGTTCATCAGTGATATCAGCAGTAGTTTTCTCTTCTTGTGGTGTCTTTGTTTCCTTTTGGTATTAGAGAGATATGGGCTTCATAGAAACTCTTTGGGAGAGTTTCTGTTTCTTCAATTTCCTGGAAAAGTTTGAGAAGAACTGGCAAAAGGTCCTCTTTAAATGTTTGGAAAATTTCGCTAGTGAATCCATCTGGACCTGGGCTTTTGTTTTTGGGAGGACTTTTGATTACAGTTTCAATTTCCTTGATGTTAATAGGTCTATTCAGATACTCTATATCTTCTTGATTCAGCCTTGGGAGATTATAGGAATCCAGGAATTTATTCATTTCTTCTAGGTTCTCTTCTTTCGTGGCATACAGACTTTCAAAGTAGCCTCTGATGATCTTTTTAATTTCTTTGGTTTCTGCTGTGATATCCCCCTTCTCATTTCTGATTCGGTTTATTAGGGTTCTCTCTCTCTCTTTTTCTTTGTGAGTGTTGCTAGTGGTTTATATCTTATTTATTTTCTTGAAGAACCAGCTCTTGGTTTCATTGATCTTTAAGATTGTTTTTTTGTTTTCCATGTCATTGATTTCTGCTCTAAGTTTTATGATCTCTTTCCTTCTGCCTGATTTGGGCTCCTTTTGTTGATCCTTTTCTTAGATCTTGAACTGTGAAGTCAAGTTGTTTATGTGGGCTCTTTCTTCCTTCCTGAGAAATGCTTGCAGAGTTATAAATTTTCCCCTTAACACGGCTTTCACTGCATCCCATAGGTTCTGGTAGCTCGTGTCTTCATTCTCATTTGTTTCCAGGTATCTTTTGATTTCGTCCTTGACTTCCTTCCTGATCCTAAGTGGATATTCTTATATATATATATATATATATATATATATATATATATATAATTTATTTATGTATTGAATCACTGTGGGAAAAGTCACAAAGCTTTCAGGTTTAGGTCTCGGTCATGCAAATATCAAACACATTTCCCTTTACCAATACTTATTTTTCACCACGAAGAACCCCAATAAACCCCCACCCCCCACCGCCCCAAGGCCTGTGAGGCAGATGAATTCTAGTTGACACTCTATCTACTTTGACTAGATTCATTGTTTCGATAAAAGATGCACCATTATTATTTAGGGTTTACCCCCCCCCAAAATCAGACATGCTGAAAAAGCATTGTGAAATGATTTGCTTTCTACAGCTGGGTTCAAGAATTAAATGATGTCGCACGGCCGCTATCGCGGCTGCATGGTTTTGGATTTCTGCTATTTTACTTATTTACCCTGGAAGTATTTCTACTGAGAGTCAGATAATTAAGAGATTGGAGTCATGGCCGTGCCGGAGAGCCGCTCGTGGGGAGCAACTGGTGACCTCGGTAGGGCATGAAGGACAGGCCGGAACGCTCCCCTTCCCATGAGGTTTTAGTCACCCCATCACCCCCGGCTCATACCTGCTCTCCCCTAAGTGGATATTCTTAATGTCAAAAGGAACAGTGGACTCTATAAACCTAGACTAAGCATAAAATACTGCACTCTTCATTGGAACATACTAAATGTTCATGGTTAAGTCAAGTGCAAATGTAGCTAGAGTTCAGAGGATCTCAGTGAGAATATTGGGGGGGGGGGAGGGAAATGGCATCTGTCTATTGCTTTTATTGCTTTTCTCCTATCGAACTGCCCAGCTAGCCACCAGCTTATGCTTCCTCATACTATGACTCTCATTACCCAGTTAAGGAAGAATAAGAGTGTTGGCTAAGCACAGTGAGATCGGCGTTGGCTTTTCTGCAGAGTCAGCTTGGCAGAGGCTCTCTGCTGGCAGGGCCACCCTTGACACCACATTGCAGTCACCCATGGCCTGGCTCCAGAATCTGTCTCACTATTAGTACCAGTTGGGGAAGAATCAGCATATCACAATTCAGTCGGCTTATGTAGTGGGAGGATCTGACAAACAGAGAGTGCATATTCTTTTGAGTCACCAGCCAAGTCATTTGCTTCTGTTTCAGGATATTTTCACTGTCAGCATTGGGAACTTGCCTCCAAAAGGTAAGGTGCTTATCAAAATCACCTACATCACGGAGCTCAGCATCCAGGGCACTGCGGCCCTCTTCTTCATTCCTGCTTCTGTGGCACCCTGGCAACAGGACAAAGCTTTGAATGAAAACATTCAGGTGGGTAACCTGGAGACAACATTTCAAGATTCTTTATTTTTTTATTTATGCTTAGAGAAGGAAAAAATCATCTAAGAGAGGGCTGGAGAGGCATCCCAAAAGACCAGAGCGCCTGCTTTCTACGGGGGCAAACGGGGGGCTGTGGGAGCGGGGTCCAGCTCCCGGGCAATGCAGCAGGCAGAGTCTCCGGGACTCCTGAATGAGGCCCCCAGACAAAAACAAAGGAAAAAATATATCTAAGATGAATTTTTAAGTATCAAGTCCATCTACATTTTACAATTTGACATTTAAACATTTGGACATGTGTGATGTTTATAAAATTAAGAGAATAAAGTCAGCAAGTCCAGGGGTTGGAGATGCTCAGAGATCACAATTCAGTCAGCTGAATTGTGAACCACCACCTGGTTTCCAAACACTATCAGAACAATCTCCAAGAAACACATGTCCAGGAGCACCTCTGAGCACTGCCAGGTGTGACCTAAAAGCAAAAAATTACCAAAAAATGCAGGTAAGTTTCTTTTTTTGAGGGTTATATTTCATGGTGCTCAGGGCTTTCTCCTGACTTTGCACTCAGGGATCATTGCTGGGAGAACTATGTGAGGTGCTGGGGATCAAGAGCAAATGCGCTTCCCACTCTCTGTTTCAGATGAGTTAAATTTTCTACTTGCTGCAGTCACTGAAATTTTCTTGTGTCTATTCTACATGTTTATCATGAGGAACCAATGTAAGCATAAAGAATGCAAATAAGCCAGAGGGGAAGGCATAGCTATTTTCTCAAGGGAGGATAACCTCCACAGCTTCTGGGGGACCACCATGTGTTTTTGGACTGAAAGCCAGGGTTCCCGCCTTTTGAGCACCTCAGTCCTGAACTATTCTTAGTTCTGTCATCAGATAACAGAGCCCAAAGCTGCAGATTAACACCTTGTAATAGATATTCCAGACTTTGTATTTTGTATGTATCCATGTGAATTGTGTGTATGAACAGTATATCTGTGTAATACACACATCAGGTATGTATGTATATATAAGGTATGTATTTGTGCATATCTATGGACATTTGTAAAATTAAAATCTGTCCAGATGGTGTAAAATAGTAAAAGTAAGTAAAGTAAAGGCCCTCCCGTTGTTCAATTTGCTCAAGCGGGCCCAGTAACGTCTCCATTGGAGATTTCGTTGTTACTGTGTTTGGCATATTGAATACATCACGGGTGGCTTGCCAGGCTCTGCCGTGTGTGCGAGATACTCTCAGTAGCTTGCCGGGCTCTCCGAGAGGGGCGGAGGAATCGAACTCGGGTCGGCCATGCTGGCTGCGTGCAAGGCAAACGCCCTACCGCTGTGCTATCGCTCATGATGGTGTAAAATATCCTTCATTATTGTTATATTGTGTAAGTTATTGTTATTTCATGAACAAGTGGAATGTTACTATGCCAAACAGTCCAGCCATCTTGATGCTCAGCACAGCAGTTCTGAGCTATGGCCTTGGTGGCATTATACTCAACTAGGATCTTACTGAGAAACTTGACACCTGGCTATACCTTGATCCATCTTTTCTTTTAACAGGATACAGTAAAAAAGATTTGTGTAAAAGAAATTGGAACAGAGCAAAGGTTAGTACCTAAAATACAAAACAAATCATTTACTTTTTTAAAAAAATTTTATTAGTGAGACACCATGAGGTACAGTTGTAGACTTACATATTTTGTGCTTGGGTTTCAATTATACAATGATCAAATACTCATCCCTCCACCAGTGCCCATTTCCCACCATCACGGATCCCAGTATCCCTTCCACCCCCATCCCCCCCATCCCACTCTGCCTCTGTGGCAGGGAATTCCCTTTTGTTCTCTCACTCCTTTTGGGTGTTATGGTTTGCAAAATAGGCATTGAGTGGCAATCATGTTTGATCTAGAGTATACTTTCAGCATGCTTCTCCCATCCTGGGAGGATCCTCCCAACACCCTTTACTTGGTGCTCCTTTCTGAGCTGCCTTTTCCCCTAGTATGTGAGGCTGGCCTCCAAGCCATTGAGGAAAAATTCCTGGTATTAATCTCGGCCATTCTTGGGTGTTAGTCTCCTATTTTGTTACTTTATATTCCCCAGTTCTTCAACACTATTTCCACTACCCAGCCGTCGCCACACTCCAGGACGCTTTGCGGACCCGCGTGGCTGCAAGCGGCCGCGCGACACAACATAAGACACTAAATACCCATCTTCTGGAATTGTCGTACCATATTTGATAGGGTTCAAATATGGTAACACCTACAAGGGTGATTAGAGGTCACCCCAAAAGCCTCTATCCCTCTCGGAAAGACTGGCAAGCTACCGAGAGTATTCCGCTCGCACGGAAGAGCCTGGCAAGCTATCCGCTGTGTATTCGATATGCCAAAACCATTAACTACAACTGGTCTCATTCACCTGACCCTGAAGGCTTCACCAACATGGCAGCACTGAGAAGGATGAGAAAGGAGAGGCCGACAAAATCTCAAGGCCGACCTAGGCTGCCACAACGAAGGAAGACAAAAATGATCGTCTGTACTTTCAATGCACGTACGCTAGCATCAGATGCATCCATCGAGGACCTGATGGTACAAGCGCGAATGATCAAGTACGACAACATTGGTCTGACCAAGACAAGAAGGCAAGAATCTCACCATGCCGTTTTCGACACTGGAGAAGAATTGTTCCTCGGAACATGCGATAAAAGAGGTGTTGGAGGCGTCGGTGTCCTTGTCAATACAAACTTGGCCAAGAGCATTGATTCATTCGAATGCCTAACAACTCGAATCGAATCGGATGTTTACATTTGAATAGATGTGGCTCACTGCCTGCAGTTTCTATCTTCGTTGTCTACGCACCAACATCTCATTATGATGAAAGAGAAATCGAGAAGTTCTACATGGAGCTAGAGAAGTTCTACAAAGAAGACCACACCTTCTACAAGATCATTGTGGGTGATTTTAATGCCAAGATAGGACCGAGAAGATCAGCTGAAGAACTTCACATCGGGACCCATGGCCTAGAATGGAACGAACAGGGTGAGAGACTGTCTGAGTTCATCATGTCGACCAAGACCATTCATGGTAACTCACAGTTCCAGAAGGCAGAATCTAAACGATGGACATGGGAGTCTCCCGGTGGACGATTCCACAACGAAATAGACCACATCATATTCAATCGACGGTTTTGCCTGACTGATGTCGCTGTTGTCCCAAAATTTCGAATGGGATCGGACCACCGTCTCCTTCGTGCAAAATTCTACTTCACAGAGCAGGGAGAAAGGGCTGCAAAGTTCAAAAAGAGAACTCCCAGAATGACCACCAACTGGGAACTCTTTGGTACTATTGCGGCAACATGGGAAGATGCCATTGTTGACAACATTGACGAGGAATACGATCGACTGGTTCAGCACCTCCATGAATGTGCGAGGAACGCCAAGAGAGAGATAGCCACAAAAAGTCGCCTATCTTCGAAAACTCTTGAGCTAATTCGCCAGCGTGGTTTGGCGCATGCCTCAGGCAACCGCAAGCTAACGTCCGAGCTCGCAAAGCAGTGCAGAGATGCGATCAAGGAAGACCTCAAAGAGAGAAGAGCAGAAGTACTGGTAGATGCGGCAGAAGCCGGGAAAAGTATTCCTAACGCCCGCCTGTCCTTCGCCAACTATAAGACCAAGATGACTGCCCTCCGATGTCCTGATGGATCCATCACATCCTCCAGAACAGCAATGGAGAAGATTATCCATGACTTCTACTCAAATCTCTTCGATAGCCATGTCCACTTGCCGACATACCAAATTCCACAGGGTGTGTATGTCGTTCCCAACGTTCTCCCTTCCGAAATCCGACACGCCATTTCGTTGGTAAAGAAACAAACAGCATCCGGCCCAGACAAGGTCAGACCTGAACACCTGAAGAACCTGCCGTCAGTACTCATCAATACACTGGCTCGGCTCTTCACTCGCTACCTGTCTGAATGCAAGGTTCCGTTCCAATGGAAAACCAGCAGGACCGTACTACTGTTCAAGAAGGGAGACATCCATGACATTGGCAACTATCGCCCGATCTGCCTATTGTCTGTCATCTACAAGTTGTTCACTCGAGTCATCCTGAATAGGATTGGCAGAACACTAGATGAAGAACAACCATGCGAGCAAGCAGGGTTCCGCAAAGGATTCAGCACCATCGACCATATCCACACGATAACCAAGCTTATTGAGGTTTCTCAGGAGTTCAAGATGCCGCTCTGCTTAACGTTCATTGATTTAAAGAAGGCCTTTGATTCTGTTGAGACGGAAGCGGTCATTGAAGCCCTAGCCAATCAGGGCATTCAAGCCCAATACATCAGGATCCTCCATGAGCTGTATTGCGGATTCACTACCAGGATCTCACCATTCTACAAAGAAGTGATCGTTGATGTCAAGAGAGGGGTGCGGCAGGGTGATACCATTTCACCGAAACTCTTCAGTGCCACCCTCGAGAACATCATGCGACGACTGGAATGGGAAGGAATGGGAGTGAAGATAGATGGTCGGCAACTACACCACCTCCGCTTTGCTGATGACATTGTTTTAATAACACCAAACATCAGCCAAGCGGCACAAATGCTGGCCGACTTTGACCGTGAGTGTGGAAAGGTAGGACTACAGCTGAATCTTACGAAGACAATGTTTATGAGAAACAGCCTTGTTCCTGACGCCCCATTCGCTCTCAATGGAACGACCATCTCCGAATGCAACAGCTATGTGTACCTAGGTCGAGAGGTCAACATGAGAAATGACCTGGCACCCGAGCTGCGCAGGAGGAAGAGAGCGGCTTGGAACGCCTTCAAGAATGTCGAAGAAATAGCTAAGAGGACGAAGAACCTCCGGCTCCGGGCACATCTCTTTGATTCCACTGTTCTTCCTGCATTAACATATGCCTCAGAGACCTGGGCCCTACGCAAACAAGATGAGAACGCTATTCAGGTCTCCCAAAGAAGAATAGAAAGAGCTATGCTTGGAATATCACGTTTCACTCAAATGAGAGAACGAATCCGGAGTTCTGACATCCGTCGACGATCAAGGATCAGGGACGCTGTCTCATTTGCCAAGGTGTCAAAAATCAGATGGGTTGGTCACGTAATGAGATTTAAAGACGACCATTGGACTAGAGCTGTTACTGATTGGATTCCATGGGATGTCAAGAGACCGCGTGGCTGCCCACCTACCAGATGGTCAGACTTCTTCGTCAAGATCATGAACGATCGGTTTGAGGCCCTTCATGTTCCCGGAGCGAACAGATGTCATTGGGCTACACTAGCACACGACAGGGACAAATGGAGACGTTACTGGCGCCCGCTCGAGCAAATCGACGACTAACGGGAAGTTAAGTGATTAAGTGATATTCCCCAGATGAATACAATCTTTCTATGTCTATCCCTCTCTTTCTGACTCCTTTAGCTTAACATGATACATTTACTTTTTGGTTTAAGATTTCATTTAAAAACATGAAAGGCAACTCTGCATTATTGTTTACTGTCTAAGATACGGAACTGAGTCACTTTCTATTGGTTCCTGGTAGCTTCTCACTGACTATGTCCATTGAGATGCCATATGTGATTGACTTCATTTCCAGTGATACACATGAACTGAAACAAAAGGTCAGTGTTGCTCTCTTTTTCCTTTTTAGTCATGTTCTATTTCTTACAAGCTTTCATAGTAACATTTATTTTATTTCATCAAAGCAATATTTGCACAGGGTTAAATGAAACTTAAGTAATGCTGTAAGGTTATCATATACATATATATTCCTTTATATACTTTCAGTTCAATTCTTGTGATTATTTCCAGCTGTCATTGTCATAGCAGTCCCTTCTCTAGCCTAATTGCCCTTCCTCTCCCTGCAGCTTGTGACAGGCTTCCAACTGTAGGCCCATCCTCCTGGCCCTCATTTCTATTGTCCTTATGGAATAGTCTCATACTGTGTTTTTTATATCCCACAAATAAGTGCAATCATTCTATGTCTCTCCCTATATCAATGTGTACACTGCAAACTGTAATGACTGAAAGGAGAGAGACAGAGCGAGAAGTGTCTGCCATACAAGCAGACTGTGGGTGGGTGGTGGGAGCAGGAAACTGGGGACATTGGCAGCGGGAAATGTACACTGGTGATGACAGGTGTTAGAATATTGTATGACTAAAACCCAATTATGGACATCTTTGTAACTGTTTGTCTTACAGTGATTGTATTTTTTAAAAAATTTTAAGTTAAATAATGCTAATAGCAATAGACTTGGATTCTCTTTGCCTCTCCACAAACCAAGGGGAATAACTTCCCTGGTGTCCTGGGGGCTGCTCCCAGGGCATCTCACACAGCAGTGTGTCCTCAGGCTCAGGATCTGGGGCCGCTTGGCCAGTGCTGGGGCCACAAGACCACCCAGGTGCTCTAGGGCTATGCTGTGACAGGATCAGCTCTGGGTCTCACTCACAGAGCACATGCGCCAACTTTTTGAGCATCTCCCTGGCTTCTTGATGCTGTTAATAATTTTGCTTTTTCAGAAATCATCTTTTATTTCTGTTTGATGATTGATGAGAACTTCACTTTCACTCTCTTTACTGGCCACTCTCACTTTTCCTTTCCCCATTCATTCCAAAGCTTGTTGTCATTTTTTGTTTAGGCAATGGTCAATGTTTATATTATAACTATCTATACTTAGATTGTTTTACCATGAAGCCAAGAAATGGTCATGGTGATAATGTTCTTTCTGTATTTGGATTTTTTTACTGCTTTATATAGTTGGGGGGTGGAGGAATTTTTTTGTTTTGTTTGTTTTCATTTGTTTGTTTTTGAGCCACATCTGGCAATGCTCAGAAGTTGCTCCTGGCTCTGCGCTCAGAAATTACTCCTGGTGGTGTTCGGGAGGCCATGTGGGTTGCCAGGCACTGAACCTGGGTCAGCCACATGCAAGGCATATGACCTACCTGCTATACTATTGACCCAGGCCCAGAATTTATTTTATATTTCCTCTTTTTCTAGGACTCCTCTTAGCAATTAAAACCCCTCTCAAAACTATTTTCTAGTGATCAGAGAGATAGTACAGCAGGTAAGGCACTTGCCTTGCACACAGCAGACCAGGTTCTATCTCCAACATCTCATATGATTCCTTCAGTACCACTAAAAGTAATTCTAAGTGCAGAACCAGGAGTAACCTCTGAACATTTCTGGGTGTGGCCCCCCCCAAAAAAGAAAGAAACAAATATTCTGTTTTCCCACCATTGAGTTCCTACTCTAATTTGTTAATTAATTCCCCTGTCCAGAATACCTACCTGTCCTGTTTCTCCATTTCAGACTTGTTTCCTCTTTATTTTACTTTGCTTTATTTTGGAAGGGTGCCAGGGATTGAATCCAGGGCTCCCCCATGTGGGGCAATCACCTACCACCCATCCAGCTTTTCCCTGTCTCCCCACTTGGACCCATTGGTGACTCAGGTCTGCATTGGCGTTTTTCCCTCACGAAGTCCTTGCTCCTTTTCATGTCAGGCCCCCTGAGTGCCCTTGGTCAGAGGATCCTTACCGCCAAGTCCAGGAAAATTCTTATTCCACCCACTCACCGGATCCACTTGATCAGCTTGTGAATGTTTCATCCCAGGTCACAGATCATCTTAGGATATCAAGAACAACATGGATGGAACTAGAGGGTCCTGTGCCTGGTGAAGTCAGCCGGTGCAGGGATAGATACAGGATGATATCTCAAAGGGGGACCTAAAGACACACAGCATGGGAGCACCAAAGGGCCAAAAGCAGCACAACAGGAGAACAGAGCCACACAATTGAGTTGGGGAGAAGGGCTGAGAGGGAGGGATGTTGGGTTCCTTGAGGGAGGGATGTGTGTACTCTAGTGAAGAGTGTGGTGGGGAAATTATGTCCATGAGAAACCAATATTAATAGTATTGTCAACCAAATAATATCAATCAAAAAAATTTTTTAATGTTGAAAACATTGTATTCAGCTTCCAAGGTTACTTTTGAGAAGCTAAATGATATTCTTGGCCCCTATTCTTTGTGATATCTTTTGTTTATCAGTTTTCCAAGAATCTTCTTTTTATCCCTGATGTTAAGGAATTTCATAGTGGCTGGGCTGGGAGACGTACAGTGAGTAGCATGCTTACCTTGCATATGACCAACCCAGTTTCAGTCCCAGGCACCTCATATGGTCCCTGAGCACAAATAAGCCCTTAGCAGCACTGGGTGTGGCCCAAAAACCAAAATAGTTTTTTTAAAGAGCAAGATATTTCCTAGTGGTTTGATTGTTACTCATTTTGTTGTATACTTCGAATATAAGTAGTTTTATTATTTTACATAAGTTGTTTTTCTTCAATTTTTCTTCAGTTCCTTCAGTTCACCTTAATCATGTGTTCCTGCGATTGTTTGTGGAAGTGGGGGGAGTTGAGGTCACACACAGCTATGCTTGGTACTTACTCTTGGCTCTGTGCTTGGTACTCTCTTGGGGAGGGCCGGGATTTGGACGGTGCCAGGGGCGCAGCAGAGTGACTGCCTTCCCCCTGTGTCCTCTCTTTAGCCCAGCTTCCACCATCTTAACATTGTTCATAGTTCTTCCCTGTTCTTTTCTTTCCTTCCTGTTTCCTATAGCTCTAGGGAGCTGCTATTTTTATTGCTTTTCTTTTATTTCTTTTTTTTTTTCTTTTTGGGTCACATCTGGCGATGCACAGGGGTTACTCCTGGCACTGCACTCAGGAATTACTCCTGGCGGTGCTCAGGGGACCATATGGGATGCTGGGAATCGAACCCGGGTTGGCTGCATGCAAGGCAAATGCCCTACCCGCTGTGCTATTGCTCCAGCCCCTGCTTTTCTTTTATTATAGGTATTGTTAGGATTCTGCCAGGGAATAGAGATAAACAGAGGTATAATTTAATCCAATCTGAATTGGAGGCTCCCTCATTTTGCTACATAACAGTCCTTAGGCTTTGTGGCTTGAAGCAAGCGTTTCTTCTTTGTGGACTGAATAGTTCTAAGCTGGACTGGTTTGGTGGATACAGGTGACTTTGAATGCTCCTACTTGCACACCTGGCCCATGGCTGGTGTCAGCTGGAAAACTGGCCACACTTCTCATCTCCCGGCAGGTAGCCTCAGGTTCATCTGGAAGGGGTTGAAGATTCTCAGTAGCACAGGGTGGGCGGGTTCCACTGTGTGAACATGTTTCCATATGGCATCATCCACCAGGCCATGACACATGGTCACAACTCCGAGTCAGAGCAGTAGATGCCCCAGCACCTAGAGGAGAGGCAGAGACAGTGGCTTTTTGTGCTTTACCAGCTTGACAATATTGGTGTTTTTTAAAGTAAATTTTTTTAAGTTGAATCACTTTGAAATACAGTTACAAAGTTGTTCATGATTGGAGGTGCAGTGCCACCAGCAGGTCAACCAGTGGAATAGGTACATCAGCAGCTTGACGGTACATTCAGGTTTCCTGTTACTCAAAATTTGCCACTAGTACCTCTGGCTGGACCCAACAGCTCAGGACCAAGTTTCCTGAGAAATTAAATGGCCAAAAGTTAGGTATGTGGGAGCCATGCCCACAAACCACCTCCGACTCAGCTGCTTAAGCTCATTTATCGGCCTTACTTCAGAGACCATAAATAAATCTGAAAAGAGATCAAAAGCCACAGTTAATCTCAGACCATGCAAGACTAAAGAGACCAGGATAAATGGGAGGGGGGTAGGTCAGCCTGCTGCCCGCCCAGGCAGAGTCCCCAACAGCCCCTTGCTCCCACAATCTAAAATCACCACTATACCCCTAGCTGGACTCCACTGATTTAGGATAGACCTCACTGAGTTATTAACCTGTTGAAAATTCAGAAATGTGGGTTTTGTGACTGAAATCTCCAGGCTTTCTCAGAGTTGGAATGGTAACCCTGGCCATTTCCTTGCCAGCCTCCCCCCCTCCACCCCCCGCCCTGCCCCAGACACTTCCCTATATTCCTGAAATCACTGGCAGTCACACCGTGAACCAACTCCAGCACCACCATGGAGGCTGTTCTACTGGCCTTGCTTCAGAGGCCCATAAATAAATATGGAAAGATATCAAAAGACACAGTTAATCTCAGACCTGCACAAGGCTGAACAGACCAGGGTAAATCAGAGGGTGGTGTGTTAGTCTGGGCCTGTGTAAGAAGAGCCCCTGGCAGCGACTTGCTTCCACAAATCAGAATCACCGCCATGCCTCTGGCAGGCCAGACCTCACCAAGATATAATCTGCTGAAAATTCAGGAATGCGGATTTTGTGACTGAAATCTCCAAGCCTTCTCAGGTAGGGATGGGTTACCTATCCCCACTATCCCCACTTCCCTGTAATTCTGGAAGCCTCAGCAGTCACTTCCACACTCCAAAGCTTCCAGTTAAAAAGCTACTCCAGCCTTACTTTCCTGATAAGAATATTGAGTGCCCTGAAAAAACACAATGACCTCTTGCTGCCTGTGCTGCAAACCATAATGCACAATGGAGAGAGAGAAATTAAAAAAAGTGCCAGACACAGAGGCAGGCTGGGGGTGAGGTGTTGGGGAAAGTAGGGGACACTGGTGGTGGAACACTGGTGGAGGGGTGGGTGTTGGATCATTGTATGACTGAAATTCAATCGCTAACAGCTTTGTGATGGTCTATCAGGATATTCAATAAAAATGTAAAAAAAAACAAAGTTGTTTATGATTGGGTTTTAATCATACAATGTTCCAATACCTGTCCTTCACCAGTGTACATCTCCCACCACCAATATCCCCAGTTTCTCTCCTGCCAACTCCATAGCTGCCTCTATGGCAGGCACTTTTCTTCTCTCTCTCTCTCTCTCTCTCTCTCTCTCTCTCTCTCTCTCTCTCTCTCCCCTCGCTCTCCTCCTGGGCATTAGGGTTTGAATGGTTAATATATATACATACATACATATATATGTATATGTATCCATTTACCACCTTTCAGTACTCAGTTCTTGTCCAGAGTGATCATTTCCAGCTATCATAACTGCCCTCTGCCCCCACCACTTGTGGCAAGCTTCCTACCATAGACTCATCCTCCTGATTCTTGTTTCTAACATCCTTGGGCGTTATTCTTGTACTATGTTTTTTTTTATTCCACAAATAAGTGCAGTCTTTCTATGCATATCCTTTTCATTATTGTTTTAAAGTTCATCATCTATGTTCTCTATTGATAAAAACACTTCTATTGATGTATAGTTTATCTATTGAAATGTACTTTAAATCTAAGGTATAATTATAAGCTCCCTATTGAATTTTCTATTTTACTATCCTAAGTTACATTTACTGGTATACTTACCTCCATATTCATATAAGTCTAACTGAATAAATAGTTAAATCTATAACCTTGAAATCAGGGTTTGAGATTCTTTTGCTTTTCCTTGCATCTCACTAAGTATATCTTTCTTTGACTTTCTGAAAAATGATTGCTATGATTGTCATGCTGGTAATACCTATAGCTCATAATTTAAGGTGTCTGTCTACATTTGATCCTTATGAAAAAATTCTCAGGGGTTTGCTGCTTGATAGGGAAGAGCAAACTGGCACTGTGGGACCAGTCTGTGATTGACTTCGTCGTGGTGGTTGTTTTCTAGAGAACAGACTGCACAGCTGTCGTCAGCACCATGGAAAGCAGCCGCTTAGACAGCAGTGGGTTTTGCCTTCGCGTTGGTCTGACTGATGCCTATCTCCCAAGAATGTGGGTTGAAAAACATCCAGAAAAAGAAAGCGAGGTAAAGTCCTTCCTGCTTAAAAGGAGGAGACACTCTTTAAAAAGATAATCAAAATGAATTATTTAGGTTTGAAATTATTGATGGTCCTGAAAAACTAGTTACAAAGTTATTTTTTACCACACCAAAATGTTATAACTGAAACTGTAGATTTTGTTCAACATAAGTAGCATAAATGTAGCATAAACGATTTCAACCAAAACTCCTATGTAGCATATATCTCGGGAAAGATTCACATTATTGTGGTATTCATTTCATAATGTATGTATATAAAATACATTGTATACCTTAAACATAAACATAATTATATATCAGTTATCTCAGTAAAATTGAGGGAGTTTTTAATCATGTGATTGCACTTACACTTTAAATATTGGTTAACAAAATAAAGACAAGTATGCATATTTTAGTAATCACGATGGAAATCATGTTTCTTTTAGAATAGTGTATATCAATATATGAAAGAGAGACATAATATTTACCCACAGTGTTGATATTGTATGAATTTCAGATATTTATTCTTTTTTGATTTGGGTTATGACATGTAATAATGGAAACACCAAATATGACACTCTCCTTTTTATTAGAATTCTGTTTCATTGCTGAGTGCATTTTATAGCTTTATTTTATTTGAAAGTTTTCTACTTTTACAAGTAGATCTTTTCCAATAAAAAATTGCACATTTATGGTAACTGAGAGATGGTACACTGTGTGGGGTGCTTGCCTTGCACATGGCCAACCCAGGTTTGGTTCCAGTGTTCCACATAGTCCTCTGGAGCCCCACCAGGAGTAATACCTGAGTGCAGAGTCAGAAGTAAGCCCTGAGCACCAGGGAGTATAGCCTCAAAACAAACAAACAAATGAAAAAGCCAAAATTTACATATTTATACCAAATTCTGTAAATCCTAAGTGTTTGTTTATATTTTGATGGAGGTGTGGGAGTGCCAAACCTGGGAACCCAAATGGTGTTGGCCATTTACAAGGCAAGTGCCTTAAACCACTGTACTATCTCTCTGGCTTCACTTGTCCAAGAAATTTTCATGTGACCCTGGATATTTATGTAAAATAGTTATACAAATCAAACATTTACTGATAATAAATAGTAAAGCTCTGACAGAAACCCCTCAGATTCTTACATGTTTGGTTTTAAAGAGATTTATTTTGAAATAGTTCATTGGTGGGCTGGAGAGATAGTAGGTCACGTATATAGCACTTGCTTGGCACATGGTCAATTGGGTTCAATGTCTAGAACCCCATATGGTCCCCAATACCTGACAAGAGTGACCTGAGAACATAACCATGAGTAAGCCTGAACACCGCCAGATATGGCCCAGGAAATAAAATACAAAAAAACCCCCACAATTAATTGCTATACATATAGTAATACCATTTAGTAAAGACTAAAGCAAATTTGTATACTGAGACAAATATGCTTATTTTTATATTAAAATTTAAGTGAGGAATACATAGTATCTTTAACATTTTTCAGATTCCATCAATATTTTTTAATAATCATCAGTGCTGTGAATGCCACTTTGTAAAATTACAAAATGGCAGGAGTTGGTTCCGTGCCATTTAAAAAGTGTTGGAAATCCTGTCCTAAAACCTAAAGAATTATTTAGAACAGTTATAAATTCATTTAACATGGGTGAGCTCTGACAGAAACCCCTCAGATTCTTACATTTTTTTTTTTTATTGAATCACTGTGGGAAAGGTTACAAAGCTTTCAGGTTTAGGTCTCAGTCATGCAAATATCAAACACATTTCCCTTTACCAATACTTATTTTTTACCATGAAGAACCCCAATAAAACCCCACTCCCACCCCTCCCAGTCCCTGTGAGGCAGATGAATTCTAGTTAACACTCTATCTGCTTTGATTAGATTCATTGTTTCAATAAAAGATTCACCACTATTATTTAGAGTTTACCCCACCCCCCAAATCAGACATGCTGAAAAAGCATTGTGAAGTGATTTGCTTTCTACAGCTGGGTTCAAGAATTAAATGTTGGTTTTGGATTTCTGCTATTTTACTTATTGACCCTGGAAGTATTTCTACTGAAAGTCAGATAGTTAAGAAATTGGTTTCTGTGCTCTGGAGTCGTGGCCGTGCTGGAGAGCCGCTCGTGGGGGGCAACTGGTGGCCTCGGTAGGGCTGAAGGGCGGACCGAAACGCCCCCCTTCCCATGAAGTTTTAGTCGCCCCCACAACCCCGGCTCATACCTGCTGTCCACAAGGCTCCCATGCGGCCGCCATCTTTCTTTCCAGAGAGGAGAGGGCGAATGGGGCAACACCCTTTCCCCTCTGGGCAGACATGATGGCCTGGATTAACGCATAGTCCATTCACTTTTCTGCTCCAAGCTGCTGGGTTCTGCATTAAGTCCTTGTGCTTCTGGGGCCGTGGCCGTGCTGGAGAGCCACTCGTGAGGGGCAACTGGTGACCTCGGTAGGGCGTGAAGAACGGACCGGAACGCTCCCCTTCCCATGAGGTTTTAGTCGTCCCCACACCCCCGGCTCATACCTGCTGTCCACAAGGCTCCCATGTGGCCGCCATCCTTCTTTCCAGAGAAGAGAGGGTGAATGGGGCAACACCCTTTCCCCTCCGGGCAGACATGATGGCATGGATTAACGCATAGTCCATTCACTTTTCTGCTCCAAGCTGCTGGGTTCTGCATTAAGTCCTTGTGTTTCTGGGGCTGTGGCTGTGCTCCAAACTTAACTCTGATTTTCAGGGAGAAACGTTGGGTGGTTTACTTCCCATTGATCACTTTGTATATAGAGAGATGTTGCACGGCCGCATAAGCGGCTGCGTGGTTTTGAGGAAAAGTCCTAGTTCCCGCATACTCGAGCTGTGCTTGTAGAGGCTTCTGGTCACTGGGATTCCATCTGGGGGAGGCGGGATGCGGTACCTCCCCCATCTGGGTTTCCCAATGATCTCGGCTCTTTTTGGAACCTGTTTTTTTTTTTTTTTCCTCCGGGAGCTGTGGATCCCGCCCTCCATGTGGCCCTTCTCTTCGGCTGTATGCACACGTTTGGTTTTAAATTTGGTTTTGCTTGCTGCACATTCAGAAACCTTTTACTGTCGCCAAATTTTCTCTGATCCCACATCAGTCACACCTAGATGGTCGTCACACCAGTTTCAGAAGCTTGGTGAATATCCCAGTTCTGTGGCTATCCTTTAGAATGACGGCGAATAATTCCTTGGGTGAAGCTTTGTGACCTCTTAGCACATGAGATAGCATTGTGAAACAGACCAAACCAGTGCCTTTGCTCCTTTAGGCCTGCATGCTTGTTTTCCAACCAAAACTTGATGTCGCTCTCCGTGGCCTGGTCAAGCAGAGTGAAGTGATTATTTGTCTTGATTGCTCCAATTCCATGGAGAGTGCAGTGTTTTTGGAAGCCAAGCAAATTGCTTTATATGCACTGTCCTTGGTGGGCAAGAAGCCAAAGGTCAACATCATCAAGTTTGGCACAGGTGAGCACTGCTGTGTATGTTGTGAGTGCCTGTGGAGCTGTGGCTTGGCTCAGCTGCTCCCTCCTTATGCACAGCTCATGGCGCTGGGATGCCTGACCCATCTGGGGAGGGGCAGGGAGTATGGGATGCAGTTTAAGAACAAGAATTCTGAATGAGGTCCCTCTGTTTAGATCCCCCTGCCCACTTACTAACTCTCAACGTCACCTGAGGCAAGGTACTTAAACATTCAAACTTTCATTTCTTCTCTGTTTGATGAAAATAATAAGAATCTAGTGACCTTCAGTCCTGATTTTGTAGTCACTGGATGAATTTAAAAGTCTAGTGCTTGCCTTGCACACTACTGACCTGGGTTCCCTCCGTGGCTTCCCATACTCAAGAGTTACTCTTGACTGGAGCATTGCTGAGTGTGGCCCCAAAACAAAAACAAAACAAAAAAAATTAACACTTTCTCATCATTCTATAATGTGAATAATAACACCTTCTGCCAATTTTATTATAGACTACGAGGAGTTATTTCCATATCCTACCTATATCAAAAACAAAATTGAAGCAACTGAGTTCATTATGGTGAGTAGAATCACTTTTTGGTGACGCTGTCCAGGACTTTACCTGGAGACCAAGAGCAGAGCACTCCAGACGTGTGACCTTTGTAGTGTCGAAGAGCTCTTTCACTTCATTTGTAAAATCATTATGAACTCATCAGAGAAAAATAGGAGTTTAAGGATGGAAAGAAAAACTCACCCATCTTCTCACTGTGCAGATACAATCCCACTTAAATACTTCAGGAGTGTTTTCTTATTTTTGTTTCCAGTAAGCAAGTTGAGATGACAGTTGTCTCCTCAGTCCATACTGGCAAAACCAGGGCTGGGGATGTTTCTGAAAACCATTAAAAAAGGCAAAAAAAGGGAAAAAATTAAAAGCAGGAGCTAGGGACCTGAGAGATAGGAAAGCATGTAGGATGTTTGCCTTGCACGAGGCTGGCCAGATTTGATCCTCGGTCTGGAGGGGTCCATGAGTACAGAACCAGGAGTAAGCCCCTGAGGACCACCAAGTATTACTTAAACCCCTCACCCAAAATAAAAATAGAGAAACAGGAGGCAGAGAAAGCTCAGAGGACTGGAGCAGACTTTGCATGTGGATCTCTGGGTTTAATCTCCAGCATCTCATGGTTCTCTGAGCATCCAGGAGTGACCCCTGAGCAGTGATCTGGGAGTTGTCCTCAAGAAGTGCTAGGTATAGCTCCTAAAATCCAAAAACAACTGCAACCAAAAGAGCAGACGAGCCAAATGGTGATAGTTACTGTATTGTGAACAAAAGGTATGATTGCTCCACAGAAGTATAAGAAAAAAAATACTTTTCGGGAATGGAGAGATAGTACAGTGGGTATGGTGCTTGCCTTGAACATGGCCACCCCAGGTTCGATCCCCAGCACCCCATATGTTCCCCCTGAGTACTGCCAGGAATAGTTCCTGTGTGCAGGACCAGAGTAACCCCTGAGCATTGCCAGGTGTGGCCAAAAACTAAGAAAAAGAAATACCTTCCTAGTGGCAATATCTCCCAACTCTTATTAAGGGACACGGTGAGTAACTGATCACAGTGACTAATAATTCAACCTGCACAAAGGAGTTGTTAGCTTTTGCTTCTTTGCCTTTAGACAGCAAGACCAGCCATGGGAAATACGGATTTCTGGAAAGTGCTCCGTTACTTAAATCTGCTGTATCCTAGTCGAGGATTCCGGAACATTCTCCTTGTCTCCGATGGGCACCTGCAAAACGAAGGGCTGACGCTGCGACTGGTAAAGAAAAGCGTCAGGCACACGCGGCTGTTCTCCTGCGGGGTCGGGTGAGTGCAAGCAGGAGGTGCAGCCCTTGCCCTGGCCCCTGGTTTGGAAGTATTTTTGTTGTCCTGCTCGGGACGTTTTCCAGGTTTGAAGCTGACTGAATATATAGAAGTTGCTTTGTGTAGTCTCTGGGCTCTGGTGGAGACTGTCTCGCTGTGTACACACTGACCCCGTGGGCTTGTCTTGAGGGGCGTGCTCCGAGCTGAAAACTTAGAGAAAGCAGCACATCAATGCCAGATAATAGATTTTGCAGAAAACCCCATATGCCAACCTGTTCTGAAAAGCCTGAAGAGCTGGCAGCACCTAGCGCAGGCCCTCTGAGAGCTGCTTGGGCGGTTGGGAGGGCAGTGCACCAGAGCTGGGTCCCTGCTCCACTGCTTTGCTGCCTCACAGCCTACCTGGCTCCTTCATTTGCATTTGCTTTTTTGGTTTTGTTTGGGGGGAACCACACCCAACAGTGCTTAGGGACTCTTCCAGCTCCATACTCCAGAGCTGCTGCCTGTGATGCTCAGGAGACCGTGCATATTTAGGGATCCAACCCAGGCTTCCAGCATGCAAAACACATGCTTAGGCCATTGAGCTGTTGCTACAGCCAAGCATTTATTTGTTTATTTTGTGGCCACATCCAGTGGAATCAGTCTCTGTGCTCAGGAGTGACAACTGGTAGTGCTCAGGGGATAGTTCTTCTTCCCCTCCTTCAGTAACTTGAAGTCAAGAATTTCTGCAGAGGCTGGAGTGATAGTGCAATGAGTAGGGCATTTACCTTGCATGTGACCAATCCTGGTTCGATCCCTGGCATCACATATGGTCCCCTGAGCAACACAAAGAGTAATTCAGAGTGCAAAGCCAGGAGTAACCCCTGAGCAACACCAGTGTGGCCCAAAATTAAAAAAAAAAAAAAGGAAGAGGAAGAAAGAAAAGAAAAGAAAAGAAAAGAAAAGAAAAGAAAAGAAAAAAGAAAAATAAGAATTTGTGCATTTTTATGTTGTGGAAGAGAATAAACCCTCTGCTATATAGGAGCTTCCCAAACCTTCAGGGTTTTTCTCTCTTTAACCTTAGCTACAGAAAAATACTCACTCTTTTATCTAAGTCTTTTCTATGGGTTTGGGAATCGGCCAACATTTTAACTGCCTATACTTTAGAAAACTTTCTAAGGTTTCTTAAAAATTAAAACTTGTGAAATGTTATCAGTTCTACAGCAAACCGTCATACCTTAAGGATTTTGTCTCAGTGTGGTGCCGGAGTGTTTGAATACTTTAACTCAAAATCCAAACATAGCTGGAAAAAACAGGTATGTTAATCAAAACATCTTATTTCTAGTCTTCCTCCAGGTGTGCTGACTAGTGTGCTTTTAGTCTGGGCAAAGGCATTAGATATCGGTGTGAGACACCCACTGCTTATCCTTTCCCTAGAGGGAATGCCTTGGGCACGTGATAGGAGAGGCTTTCCTAGCTCAGAACTGATTTCTGCCTTAAAAGTGTAGAGGGGAGGGATTAGATCAGAGGACAGCAGATAAGGAGGTTGCCTTGCATGCAGCTGACTCAGATTCAATCCTCAGCATCTCACAGGGTACCCCAACTCCCCCAGGATTGATCCCTGAGTGCAGAGCCAGGAGGAAGCCCTGAATATCATTAGGTGTGGTCCAAAATAAATAAATAAAAGTGTTACAGGTAGACTTTTCTTAATAAAGTATGACAATCTCTGTCTTGCTAAGATTAAGTTTTATTGGGCAAGATAGAATCTTATCAGATTAACCTTTTTGAAAATATGGCCTGGAGCGATAACACACCATTTGCCTTGCATGCGGCGGCCAACCTGGCCATCCTGAGTTCAATTCCTCCATCCCTCTCAGAGAGCCTGACAAGCTACCGAGATTATCTCGCCCATATAGCAAAGCCTGGCAAGGTACCCATGACGTATTCGATATGCCAAACACAGTAACAACAAGTCTCACAATGGAGACGTTACTGGGCCCACTCGAGCAAATCAATGAACAACAGGAGGACAATGCTACAGTGCTACAGATCAGCTCACTGTATTTGGGGGGAGGGGAGGGTTTCACATCTGTCCACCTCCAGGATCTTTCTCCCAGATAGGAGCTCTGTAACTGTGACACAGTGTCACCCTGGTGACACCCTATAACACCCATTCGCCACAACCCCCATCATGGCAGACTGCGCTTTGTTTTTTCTCTATGAAGCTTATTGTTTTATGTCCCACAGAATGGAACTGAGTGTATTTGTCCCTTACTGCCAACCATATTGGATTCACACATTTTCAGGGGCCATTTGTGCTATGTAGCATGTATCCATAGTTTCTTCCTTTTGAGACTCAGCAATATTCCCCCATGATAGATACCATATTTTGTTTACTGATTCATTTGTCAATAGGCTTTTGAATTGTCCCCTTCTCATTCCTGTAAATTAAACTCACACTTAGAATTGATTTGTAGTTTTGATTTGCATTTCCTGAATGATCAACAATATTGAGCAATACTTTCACGTGCCATTAACCATCTGCATATCTTCTTTGGAGAGATGCTTGTTCAAGTACTTTGTAGAATTATGACCAGAGTCTACATCTAGCATGTTAACTATCAGTGAAATAATTTTAGGGCGTTTTGTACATTTACATGTGCAAACAGGACAGAGAAATAGTATAGGAGTTAAGGTGCTTGCCTTGCACACTGCCAATCCCAGTTCACTCCCCAGCACTGGGTATTAGGGTCCCCTAAGCCCTGCTGGGAGAGATCCTTGAGCAACAAAGCCAGGTGTAAGCCCTGAGCACAGCCACCAGGTGTGACCCCAAACCAGCAAAAATGCAAATAAATTATGTGCTAATGCTATTATTAAATTTTCCAATTGAGATATTTCTGGGAGCCAAATAGATGGCTCAGTGGGTTGAACTCATGCTTTGGTGCAGAAGGTCCAAGGTTCAATCTCCAGTTCCAAGTAGTCCCAAGCACTGCAAAGAATGACCCAAAACAACAACAGCAACAAGAATAACATCATCTTTTAGGAAAAGTATCCTGTAGCAGAAAGAAAAGAAAAAAAAACTCAAGTTTCACAGGCTAGAGGGAGGACTGACTTAGTTTAGATGTTTAGTGACAATTTTCTGGGCTGAAAGAAAAGTGATTCCTCTTTTCCAGATAGAAGCCCAAATCACCAGGTTCTACTCCCCAAGTTGTCACTCTGTCTCCATCAGATGGCAGCAGCTCAGCACTTGTGCCCCAGAGCCACTGCAGGCTCCTGCCCAGGTGCAGTCCCTGTTTCACAATGAGCGGCTCCTGGTCTACGGCTTCATCCCACACTGCACACAGGTAAGTAGGCGCCATCAGAGCTGGGGGCCTGTGGTGTGTTCACCAATCTTCCCTCTTGCCCATCTCCATCATAGTATAGTCACAAATTTTCTCCTTCTGGGAATATAGTAGGTTTGATTACCATTTATGAGCGAGGGTCACTGAAAGCATTGTGCTTAAACTGGCTGGAACAAAAATACAGCAGGTAGGACCTTGGCCTTGCATGTGGCTGACCTGGGTTGAATCTCCAGCACCTCATAAAGTTCCCAGAGTCTCTCCAGGAGTGAACCCTGAGCATAGAGGCCAGAAAGTCCTGAGCACCAGAGGGTGTGGCCTGAACCCCTGCACAAGAAAAAAAAAAAGAACAAAAGAATAGTTAAACTAACCAAGATTTAATGGATTCTCCATCCCAACCCCCATTTCAGGCATGTCTGTGTGCATTAATCCAAGAGAAAGAATTTTCTGCTATGGTATCAACTACTGAACTTCAGAAAACAAAGGGAACGGTAAGATTCAAAGCTTCAAACTATGGGAGCATTTTTGGTAATTTACACTTTGCTGTTTTCATGATAAAACTTAGAAAGCTATGCAAGCTTCCTTTCTCATGGTTGCTTTGCTGTATTGACATTGCAGTATGCATTATGACGTGTGGGATTGTTAATGGGATGATCAAGAATATTTTTGTCACTGCAAAGTGAGCTGCCCCCCACTTGGGCTCTTGAGTAGTGTATGAAAATGCTGTGAGGATAGTTACTCAGCCAACAGCTTCAAGAAGGGAGTTTTAGATCCCTGCCATCCCGTGTTCAGCATCACCATGGATCCCAAGTGCTTTAACCACCTAAGTCCATGTTGGTCTCTCACTGGTCATCTATGAGATTCACTGCTGGTTTCATTCTGATCTGAGAGTCACTGGCACTCTCTGATCTGTCACTGGAGCTCCATGACCCACGTCTCAAGTCCTGTGACTCTGGTTCCTGTCCCCTTGGCTTCCTTTAATTTGCAGCCACTGCCTAGTGCCTGTGTGTGAGTGCCCTGGCATCCTTCAGTTGGCTGGGATGGTATGTGGAGTTATAGAGAGCAGCCCAGGCTGGAGAGATAGTACAGTGGGTAGGGCAAGTGCTTCGCACACAGCTTACCTAGATTCTTACCTAGGCATCCCATATGGTCCTTCGACCCTTTCCAGGTGTGACTGCCTGAGTGAAGAGCCAAGAGTAAGCCCTGTGCAGTACTGGGTATAGCCCAAAAAGCCCTTCAAAAAAAATTTTTTAAAGAAGTGGCCAAGTTGGGGTCTTCCTTTTATGACTTATTGTTTCCCGCCCTTAACTACCCCATTATCTCTTTTGATTTGGAGGCCATTTTGTTTGCATTTTTTTATTTAAAATTTTAGGCACCATGATTTACAAGACTGTTCATGATAGGGTTTCATGTGTACAGTGCTCCAGCCTCACACTCTCCAACAGACTGTCCACTTCCCTCCACCACTGTCCCAGTGTCCCCACATCCTGTCCAAATCCCCTGTCATGGTAACCTCAGTTCTGAAAACCAGTTCTTCCCACAGAAAAGGTACAAAATGTTTGAAATGAACCAGAGAAATAGGACAGTAGGTGGGGCCCTTGCTTTGCATGTACCTTTCCAGGCTCCATCCCTGGCACCCCGGGATGGTCCTCCACCCCCAGCAGGCATGACCCCTGCACACAGGGCCAGGAGTAAGCCCTGAGTACTGCCAGACATGACTCCCCTACCGAAAAAGTCTGAAATGAATGGACAAAATGACCTTTCACAGAAAAGACAAAACTGTAGGAAGAGCATACAGCTGCCTGCTGGCTCGGGATTGGAGTTACTTCTAGCACAGGAGGATGCTTCCAAAGAGAGTCTGTCTTTGTTCTGGCGGTGGTCACATAAGTATGCATCTGTTAAAATGCAAACCTAAATGCATGTTTCTTCTGTGTACTTTACACTTAAATTTTGAAAATGGTTTTCTGTGTAAGACTGATGAGAAGCCATTTGAATGTCTTTCCTTTCTTGCTGAAACACAGATGATCCACAAACTGACAGCACGGGCTCTAATCCGAGACTATGAAGATGGCATTCTCCATGAGGATGAGACCAACCACCAGGTTCTCTCCTACCATAGTGGACACCATTGTGCATTGTGGTGGATTCTTTTCCAGTGGATTCATTCAGGAAATATACTATAGGAGGAGAGTGTCCTGGAGACTCAGCAGCAGGGGGACATCTATTCTGTTTTCCGTACCTGGGCAGAGGGTCTTCCAATAAATGTTTGTTGAATGAATCAGCAAGAGAACAGTTGTCAGGGGATTCCTGAGAATTTGGTGTTATCAAAGAGAGTTCTGAACAGCTTTGCTGTTAGACAAATGGACTCAGAGATCAGACATTGAAGATGTTAGGACTTACATTGTAACAGATGGACAAGCCCAGAGGGGAGCTCTGAGTGCAGAGTCAGGAGTAAGCCCTGAGCAATGCCAGGTATAGCCCAAAAGAGAGAGAGAGAAAGAGCTGGTACAAAGGCAGTACATGAGCCTTTTCTCTGTGACTTAGTTTATCACTGGATCCTGGTTTGCCAGGACTGTGAAGTCACTGGTCAGGGTGTTTAGACAGGATCATGGACTCAGTATTTACTATGAAAGATGAATAATTACATGCTCTTAATGTTCTTGTAAAGTACCTATAAACAGGACCTAATTTTATTTATTTTCTCCTAGATGAAGAAACAAAAGTTAAAGTCTCTGATTATTAAACTCAGTAAAGAAAACACTCTCATAACACAGTTCACAAGCTTTGTGGCAGTTGAGAAAAGGGTAGGTGTTTTTCATTCACAGCTACGTTGTGTGTGTTCACATAGCAAAGGACATGACTCAGGCAGGCTCAGTGATTCACATGTCATCATTTTTATGTCACTGTGACTAATTAGCTACTTGCACATTTTAAGATATAATTTTATTCCATTTTTACCTTTCTCATTGTATTCACCCAAGACCTGAAAATAATAGAATCGGGCTGGATCTACCCTTGAAGAGGCCCTTCCTCCCTCATGAGTGTGAGAGCAGACTCAGGGAAGAGTCGGCAGGGCCCCAACCAGGAAGTGCCCAGCTCTGCAATGCTCCTCTGTGGAGTGTGCCCATCTTTTCCCTAACTTCTTCTGACTTGTGGCCCGGGATGCAGGACACTTTTTTTTTTTTAATGTAGGAGTACTGCTATTTGTTCAGCCATTGATTAAGCTGACTAAATTGGGCATGAACTCCACTTTACTTTTTTCTTAATTGTATCACTGTGAGATAGAGTTACAAAGCTTTCACGTTTGAGATTCAGCCATACATGATAATGGAATGTAATAATGGACATAACATTGAGATTCAGCCATACATGATAATGGAATGCAATAATGAACATAATAATGGAACACCCATCCTCCACCAGTGCACATTTTCCACCACCCACATCCCAGTCCTCACCCTGCCTCTATGGTAGACAATTTCCCCAATATTCTCTCTCTGATTTGGGGTATTATGTTTTGCTCGAAATTTCCCACCACAATTCAAGCCTACTTGCCAGGGGCAGACGCTAGATAATTTATTTTCCATTGCTCATTTTGAATATCATGAGAGCTCACGCAGCTGAGCTCTCATGATATTCAAAATGATATTCAAAATTTTATTTACATATAAATGTAAATTTCTAGGTTATAAATGGTTGGGTTCCAGAGACATCTCTGTATGGCACTAAGCCATTTTGGGATTCAATTAGGAGTCTCTGGGCCTGGGTTGTTGGTGCTCTAAGATGGCATCTGGAGGCAAATTGTGGGCATGACAGCCAGTCTGCTGGGTGGGTGGGAACCCGGGGAGAGGCATCCCGGGCCCTCTGCCACCATGCTGCCTGGAGATTTTTCCTGGAACCTGCATATCTGGGCCTTGCTTGTGGAAGCTCTTTGTCACCAGGATTCCATCTGGAGTAGTCGGGAAGACTGCATCTGCTCCTTCTGGGGTGCCCTGGTGAAATTGGCTCAGTATGAGGCCCGAAGAGATCTCAGGCGCTGTGGTGTCTCCAGGACTTGCGATGCAGGACACTCTTGACATACTCCAAACCAAATGCTCACAAGGCTTTGCAATATGTAGTCATCATTCACAGTCCTAATGTCTGTTTTTGTGATTCAATATAGGATAGTGATGAATCGTCACCTAATACTCCAAATATTATGACCCTCATTGCTGAAGAAGATGTTGACTGTCTGCCGTATATGAGCTGGCAGGAAGAGCAGCCACAGTCCTGTTTGCTAGAGGTTGGGGACCTTGTTCTTGAGGACCAAGGTTTGCTTAATGACACCGCAAGTGACCGGTCAAAGGAAGGCATAGATCTTGATATGCTGTACCAGGAGGAGCAGTCAGGGGCCAGAGTGATAGAGGGAGTCATTGCTAAACAGGTATATTGATAATTGTCCTTTCATACTTTCAGGATTCAAGGGGAACTCTGCTAAAATAGCACCTTATCTCATATATGCTAAGGCTGTTGTCTTCTTGATAATGGAAAATATTTCTACATTTATAAAACTGTCATTATATTACTGAGAAAGTTACTACATATAATCATTGCATACATCTGCCAAGTATGAGAATAGAACAGCTGTGGTTCTGCTTCCTTCCTAGACAAGCAAACTATCCCAGAGGAAATGAAGCCATTTCTCTGAGTAACATGACATATCACCATGAAAGTAGTGACAGCATTTTGATCTAAAATTATCTTAATTCACCAGCATTATCTCTTATACCTTATTGCACTTGATAGTGTTATCTTCATGACCAAAAACATAATAGGAAGTTGTAAATGTGACTTAAACAGAAATTGGAAGGCATAGTCACCAACAAAAGAAAAACACAGTGCTAATTATAAGACTCTTAGGTATCCAGATTAGAAAAGTGAAATTGCTAAAATTTAGGAATTCAGAGTTGAAGGGGGAAAGTTGCTGATTACAGGAATTTTGGGGAAATGTAATGTGCAAAGTATTCATTACCTTTGGTCCATTTTTATTTTATTTATTTTCATATCATTTCATATCATAATATATTATTATTATTAAAAGTTATCATGAGATACACAGAAAGCTGTTCATGGTTGATTTTCAGTCATGCAATATTCCAGTACCCATTGCTCCACCAGATAATGTCCCCATTTTCCCTCCAATTTGGTCCATTGTTAAATGACTATGTTAAGAATCTGCAGTGCATTAGGTACCACTTACTTTTGTTCATGGTCATATTAAAATGAGATAGTGAATAGTACAATGGCAAAATTAAACGAAAGGACCAGGGAGATGGTTTAGCTGGGCTCACTTCCCTGATCATACAAGATCCTCTAAGTAGAAAGAAGTTGCCACATATTAACTAGTAAAGAGGACACCACATCCATTGCTCCCTGCCTGGAGTGATCTCTAAGCCCTGAGCTCAGCCAGTGGCCCCAAACCCATAATCCAAATCAATTAAAGAAATATTTCAAGACTTTAAGGATAAAGAGAAATGAAAATTTGATATAGTTATCACTGATATTATCTCCAGTTCTCAGACTATGCAATGTGGACTAATTGGCCTTGAATTAACTCTTTTCAGAGCTCTGGGATGGGCACCTGGGAAGGCAGCTATATTAGCTTGATTATTGATTAATTTGTGTTTTCCTTTTCATTTTTGTTTCCCCTCCTGGGCAGCCTCGTTCATTGTCCTTTGAATGGAGTGAAGATTCGCAATATCAAAGTTCCACTAAAAGGAAATGTCTTTCATCGAAGTTGGAAGTTCCTGAATGTTACAAGTTGATTAAGTTAGTTGATCAAGAATCTCAGCGGCTGGATTCTGAACTTGGAGGTGTGGACAAGGCTTTGGATTTAAGTCAGGTGGATTCACTTAAAGCCCTCGGACTCAAACGAAGACCCAAGGAAGCCACGGCTATGCCTCCTTCACCTTCTTTCCTGAAAGATCTGGTGGACGCTGCCTGTGTTCCCTTCTGTCCTGTACCTGCTGCTCAGGCGCTCCACTTTGATTCTCCGATCCCATCCCCTTCTGTCCTCTTCTCCATCTCTCCCACCCTCTCACATCTGGGCCTTCCCCCTTCTCCCCCACTCTTAAGCTCTCCCACCCCCCAACAGCTGGGTCCTTGCCCTACTGCCCCACTCTGCCTTGATTCTGTTTCTGATTCTCCAATCCCATCCCCTTCTCCCCCACTCTTCAGCTCTCCCACCCCCCAGCAGCTGGGTTCTCGGCATATTTCCCCAGTCTGCCTCAATTCTGTTTCTGATTCTCCAAGCCCACCCCCTGCTTTCCTCTGCAGCTCTCTCGCCCTCCCACAGCTGGATCCTCCCCCTTCTCCCCCACTCTTCAGCTCTCCCACCCCCCAACAATTGGATCCTCTCCCTGCTCTCCAACTCTTCAGTTTTTCCATGCTCCAACAGCTGGGTCCTCCCCCTGCTGCCCCACTCTTCAGCTCTCCCACGCCCCCACAGCTGAATGCACCCTCTGCTCCCTTGCATGTCAGCCCTCCTGGCCTCCCAGAGCATACAGGCTACCCTCCTGCCCCACCATTCAGCTCTCCTGTCCCCCTAAGGCAAGTCTGCCCCCCTGCTCCCCCACTCTTCAGCTCTCCTGTCCCCCCACAGCTAGATGCTTCCCCCATCCCCCGACTGCCCTCTTATAGCCCCTCAATGGTACCTTCTTTTACTGGTGCTCAGGCGTTTAGTGCTCCTTATGGTGCCCTAGCTCCTGTCCCTCTTGCTGGATTTGCAGGGACAGCTTCTCAGTATGGTCCCCTCAAATCAGCTTCTGTTGCCCCGCACTTGCCATCCAGTCCTTCCTTTGCTGATGGCCCAGGGGCTGGTCCTCATGGCACTTCCCTGCCATTGGTTCTTCTTGATGGTGCCCCATCTAGCCAAGGCCAAGGTACTGGCACTTCCACAGAGCTTCATCACAGGCTGGATTCTTCTTCTGGCCTATTTGGGTCTACTAAGGGTTCTGCTGTTAAAACCAATCTCAAGCATGTACAGAGGCAGGAAGCACTGCCCATGTGGCCTGCTCCTCCTGAAGTCCCTGCTGCTCACACCCTCCCCTTCGGCTCCCCGCTGCACTGTGGCTCTCTCCCGGGGTCTAGTGCTACCCTTTCTTCTCTCGGCTCTGTTCTTCTTGAGGATAGCTCAGATTCCTGCCACTTGGGGATATCCCCTTCCAGACAGCCTCCAGACCCTCCTAGCTCAGATTCACAGCAAATGAGTGGGCAGACAGACAGCAAAACAGTACCAGATTCTCTCCAACATGATCTTCTGACTGCCACAAATAAGAAAAGTCATATGGAAACAGAAATTGATGGAGCACAAAGTAGACATCTTTTCAGCAAGAAGAGAAAATCTCGAAAACCAGATAGATTCAGTTTTTTCTTTCAGATAAATAAAAACCAGGAGCATATGTCCCACACTCTCAAAAAAGGGAAGAATTTCTTGCCTTGGACTGAACTCTTCAATCTCCAAACAGAGGTATTTGTCTTATTTCTTATTTCTCTGCTTAGATTTGTAATTCAGCATCAAATTGCAGATTACCATGAAGAGGTAAGGCACCTCTGCCAGAATGGAAGCCTACATGCTGCTTCCTTCACTGAGAAAGACTGCTTTGGAAAGTCGCTTGATGACTGATGAGATGACTCAAGGGCTGAAGCATGGGATTTACATGCAAGAGGCTGGGACTTGGTTCCCTGCATCGCATCCCCCCAAGCTCTGATTTTCTGGTCTAGGTTTTTGTTTATTGGTTTGATTTGGTTTGGTTCGGGGACTACACCTGGCAATGCTCAAGAATTATTCCCTAGCTCTGCACTTAGGAATTACTCCTGGCAGTGCTTGGAGGATCAGATGGGATGTCAGGGATTAAACCAGGTTAGCCACGTGCAAGGCAAGAACCCTTCCTGCTGTACTGTGCTTTTCTGGCTGAGTTTAGGAATAGGAAAACAGCAGTCATCACCAACCACAGCCAGGTGTGTCCCTCAAACAAAACAAAAAGTGAATTGAGCAAAATATTGCTTTCAGTGATGACTGGTATTTATCTACTTCTAACTGCTAGGACCAGAAAAGCATGGTGAATGTTTTATATTACTTCGCTGAGATTTAGCATTCCTACATAGGTCATAGGCTAAAACCTTAAATTTCCTAGGTTGTAGAACTGCCATTTGTATAGCTCACTCCCTTTGTGAAGTAAGGCATATGCAGTGTTAAGTATGTTCTAGAATATTTCCCATAGGACTTAGAACTATTACACCAACAGGTATTAGAGCCCATTATTTCGGTCATGAAGCCAACACACATCACATAAATTTAGCTTCTGTACTATCCCTGAAACTTGATTATCACATCTCTAATTTAGCGAAGTGGAAAGGCAACTCCATTCACTATAGAACTAAGTTTAAGTCATAGTCCTACCACTTTGTGATTTGGGCAAGTCAAATAATCTTTAGTTTCCTTATCCATATAATGGGGATAAGGATTCTACCTCATACAGCATTTTGGAAGGCTAAAGCAGATACTATCAGAGCTAGTTCCCCCACTTGAAAAAATGTGCAGGAGAATAGTGTAGCAAGCATTCTGTCCACAATCACTGCCTGTGGACCGGAGCCAAGCCCTCAGCTGAACCCCAGCCTAGCTGTTCATGAGCTCTGTGACAGTGGGTGTGCTGGCTGACATTCTACCAGAGCCCTCTCAGGCCAAGGAGGTATAGTATTGGTGCCTCTGGAAGACTTTTCTGGAAAGATAGAATAGACTGTGATTATTTTTCATGTTAGCTATAGATCTTGAACCTGTACCCTGCCTGTAATTTCTCCTTCCTATGCTTCCTCTATGTATTATTACCCTGCCTGTTTTCTTCAGAGCTGACCTGACCTCAGGCTTATACATGTTCCTATGTATGGGACAAAGGTTGGCCTTAGTTCAGACAGGTGAGGACAGTGGGCATCGGGAAAGTAGTTTTTTGGTTTTTTTTTTTTATTAGTGAAACACCATGAGGTACAGTTGTAGACTTACAAATTTTTGTGCTTGGGTTTCACTTATACAATGATCAAGTACCCATCCCTCCACCAGTGCCCATTTTCCACCACCACAGGTCCCAGTATCCCTCCCACCCCCCACCCCCCACCCCATCCCACCCTGCCTCTGGGCAAGGCATTCTCTTTTGTTCTCTCTCTCTTCTTTTGGGTGTTGTGGTTTGCAAAAGAGGCATTGAGTCGCAATCATGTTTGGTCTATAGTCTACTTTCAGCATGCTTCTCCCATCCTGGAGGATCCTCGCAACACCCTTTACTTGGTGCTGCCTTCTCTATCTGAGCTCCCTTTCCCCCTCGCATGTGTGGCTGGCCTCCAAGCCATGGAGCAAAATTCCTGGTACTAATCTCGGCCACTCTTGGGTGTTAGTCTCTTATTTTGTTACTTTATGTTCCCCAGATGAATGCAATCTTTCTATTTCTATCCAGCTGGGAAAGTAGTTTTAAAAAGCATATTCAATGTAACAATTTTATGGTTATCAAAAAGTGTCATTTTAATATTTAAATACTAAAAGGCACTTTAGGGGCTGGAGTGATAGCACAGTGGGGAGGGCGTTTGCCTTGCATGAGGCCGACCTGGGTTCGATTCCCAGAATCCCATATGGTTCCCTGAGCACCACCAGGAGTAATTCCTGAGTGCAGAGCCAGGAGTAACCCCTGAGCATCACGGGGTATAACCCAAAAAGAAAAAAAAACTCACTTTTTTATTTCAATTTTATTTTTATAAAATTGTTAATGATCACTTATTACATTCAATATTCCAACACCAATCCCACCACCATTAAACCTTCCCACCACCATTATTTCCAATTTTCTCAATCACCAACCAAGCCTGCCTGCCCCAATAGCAGGCCCTAAATAATAATTTATTTTGTACTGATTTTTAAGAATAATTTGCTAACATGATCAAAAAAGATTTTTTTAGAAATGTTAAGATGGTTGTATCTCATCCTGGAGGATTGAAGCCCTTATGTAAGAGATTACTAGCATGTTATTACAGATTAAGCCTTATTGTTATGTTATGTTATATTAGGGCTGCAGCAATAGCACAGCGGTAGGGCGTTTGCCTTGCACGCAGCCACATGGCCGACCCGAGTTCGATTCCTCCGCCCCTCTCGGAGAGCCCGGCAAGCTACCGAGAGTATCTTGCCCACACGGCAGAGCCTGGCAAGCCACCCGTGATGTATTCGATATGCCAAACACAGTAACAACAAAGTCTCCAATGGAGATGTTACTGGGCCCGCTCAAGCAAATCAATGTTATATTAAGCCTTGTGTTAATCGAGATTGGTTGCTTTCTACTTTACATGTCATCCAATGTGATGTGCTACTCCTGGTATATCAGTGGCTTGGAGTATGAGATGTCACTCCAGGAATTATAAAATTTTGAAGGGGGTGATACAGCTGGAGTTAAGTTTTTAACTGGATGATGACTTTGGGGTCAGGAAGCATCTCTGAAGCTTGTTGATCTTTCTTGAGATTTATGAGTCTCTGAATCACAACTGATTAATGAGTTTATATGGTGCCAGAGGCAATTCGTGGGTGTGATTGCCAGGCTCCTGGAAGAACAAGGTGACGGGGGAGGTTGCCCATCCCCGATTCCATGAGAGCCTGGAGATTTCAGTCACAAAACCCACATATCTGAGTTTTTCAACATATTTATTCTTGGATGGGCTGGAGTGATAGCACAGCAGTAGGGCGTTTGCCTTGCATGCAGCCAGCCCGGTAGAGTTGGGTTCAATTCCCCACCCCTCTCAGAGAGCCCCGCAAGCTACCGAGAGTATCTTGCCCGCATAGCAGAGCCTGGCAAGCTCCCCGTGACATATTCGATATGCCAAACACAGTAATTACAACAAGTCTCACAATGGAGACGGTACTGGGCCCGCTTGAGCAAACCGATGAACAACAGGAGGACAGGGCTATTCATTCCTGGATGAGGCCCCTCCCAAGCCTGTTGAGTCCTACATGAGCATAGGAATAATTGGGTTATGGAGGTTTTCAGCTGCCACGGCTTTGTTTGTGTGGGTGGTGGGCTCACCCACCCCTCTCTGGGGTGCCACAGATGAAGACTTAGCATGGCTCAGGGTCTGGAGGCATCTCTGCAGCTTTTTGATTCTTTTGGAGGTCTATATGAGTCCTTTTAGGCACTTGAAATGTTGCACAAAAAAAAATATCACTCTACTTAAAAGTTTGGGAAATAATTGGATCAGAGCCTTGTTGCAAGGGAGAAATAGAACATGCCATGTTTTAACACACACACACACACACACACACACACACACAAGCCTTGTTCCAGACTTTTTATTTTTATTTTATTTATTTATTTATTTATTTATTTGTTTATTTATTTATATTGGTGAAACACCATGAGGTACAGATGTAGACTTACAAACTTTCATGCTTGGGTTTCAGTCATACAATGATCAAACCATCCCTCCACCAGTGCCATTCTCTACCACCAATAATCCCAGTAGCCTTCCCATCCCCCCCACCCCACCCCTCCAACCCCGCCCTGCCTCTGTGGCAGGGATTCCCTTTTGCTCTGTCTTTCCTTTAGGGTGTTGTGGTTTGCAGTAGAGGTATTGAGTGGTCATCTTGATAAGTCTATAGTCTACTTTCAGCCTGTATCTCGCATCCTGAGCGAATCCTCCAAACATCCTTTACTTGGTATTCCCTTCTCTATCTGAACTGCTTTTCCCCCCAGCATGTGCTGCTGGCTTCCAAGCAGTGGAGCAGACCCTCCTGTTCCAGACTTTTTAAACTGCCATGAAATACTTGCTGTCCACAGTACTTATGAGAGTCCTGAATTGACATGTCTCAAAAGAGGGAGAAAGCTTAAAGTGTTAGAAATATCTTAATAAGCTAAAATAGAAACATACACTATTCACTATATAGTTTTTATGTGCTGAAATTTCAACAATGTAGGTTAAATGTGTTTTCTTAATTTCACAGGATGGCTTCTGGAAACTTACATCAGAACTAGGGGATCTATTAGGCCTTAATATAAGTATTTTAAGCAGCTTTCTAGACAAGAAAGGCATTCGATCTCTAGGTAAGTCACTAGTTTTCTATTTATTAAATGGCTTGTTCCTAATTGTTATAATTTTTTTGAAAAAGTGTTATTATGTCAGTTATTTGTAAATGTAATATTCGGATTCATTTTTAATTATATCTTTTTCACCAATTAAGACATTACCCGTGCACACTTAATAAGATGGTAACTATGCCTTTTTCTGTAAGTTTATTGTCATGGCAACTATTTCAACTGTCAACTTCTTGTGTTAGTAGGAAAGGCTGCTATTAAAATATCCGAACTTGGGGCGGAGAGATAGGGGGAAGTGCTTGCCTTGCATGCAGCCAACCTGGGTTGGGCCCTGGCACTCTGTATGGTCCCTGGAGCCCCACCAGAAGTGATCCTTGAATGCAGAGTCTGAGCACTGACAGATGTGGCCCTCCCAAACCAAAAACACCAAACTCTCAGTAACTTAAGAAGAAGTGACTTTCTTATATCTGTAGTAGTCAAATATCAACCAGAAAAGAAGTTCCAATCTGCATATTCATTTACAGACCCAGGATCCTGCCTTAATGTGGTGCTGTTGCCAATACAAGTTATTAAAAGTACCCTGGTGGAAGCCAGTACACTGGACTGGAGTTAGATGCTTGCCTCACTGTGGTTAGCCCAGCTAACCTACACCACATGTGGTCCCTTAAGTACCATTAGGAATCACCCCCAAGCATAGAACCAGGAATAGTCCCTAAGTATCACCAAGATAATTAGGAAGGAAATGAAAAAGGACCCAAGTGCTTTTTTTTTTAAACTAAAGAAGGAAATCATGATAAATTTTTTTTTCTGGAACTAAAGAATAATTTTTTTTTCTGGAACTAAAGAAGAAAATCATGATAAATAAAATCAGATTTTTTAAAGATTAATAAAACAATAAATCCTGGGACTGGAGAGTAGTTAAGATGCTTACCCTGCACACTGCTAACCCGGGATTGATCCCTGGTTTCCCATCTAGTCCCCCGAGCAGCACCAGGGGCAATTCCCGAGTGCAGAGCAGGGAGTAACCCCAAGAATCACTGAATGTGGTCCCCAAACCAAAATAAATATGAAAAAAATCTTATTTATCTGGATATAACTATTATAAGAAAAAAATCTGTGCCTAAGTGGATTGACTAAGACTGCACATCTGACCTTAGAGAGATGGAAGAAAAGAAAAGTAAGTTCAGAGGTGGCTGGGTGTGGCCGGGTGTGTGGACACTGACAATATCTATTGTGTGAAAGTTATAAGTTTTGATTTTCTGAGTTAGTACCCAGGGAGGAGTGATTTCAGCTTGGATCTAGAAATTTAACTCAGCAATGCTGATTATGAAAAGTGACTTGATATATTCAGTACAGTCATATCAGTTGATCACAAATTGATTTGCATGTATTTTCATGTGCATTTGTGTGTATGTGCATGCGCACGTGTATTATTATAGCAGGCATCAAGGGAAGTGACCTGTGGGTAGAATTCACTTTTCTGACAACTATGAGGATAATATGATAAGCTTATGTTCCAACCGTCCTCATTTTTTTTCTTTAAACATCATGTTTAAACATAATGGGCCAGAGAGATAGCACAAGGGTAAAGCACTTGCCTTGCTTGCAGCTGACTGGGGTTCAATCCCTGGCACTGAGTACAGTACCCTGAATCATCTCGGCACAGAGACAGGAATAACTCCTAAACACCACCAGGTGTGGCCAAAAGCCAAACAGGAAAGAAAAAAAAAAAAACAATGATCTAATAACTAAGGACCTTGAGACCTTGAAAAATGTTACACTGTTTTATGATCTTGTAATGTACTATAGTTTTTTTGGTCTTTTTTGTTTGTTTTTGATGATACTCAGGGGTTACTCTTGGCTCTGCACTCAGGTATTACTCCTGGCAGTGTTTGGGGGACCATAAGGGATACTGGGGATTGAACCCTGGTCGATCGCAGCAAGGCAAATGCCAACTCACTGTACTATTACTCCTGCCCTTACGTATTATAGTTTATAATTTTCTTTTTCCTTTTTTTGAGGCGGTAGTACTTAGGGGCATCTCCAGACTGTGCTTATATGTTGCTCCTGGTAGTGCTCAGGGGACCATGAAATGTTGGGAATCAAACCCAAACCTCAGTTTGCAAAGCATGCTCTCTAGTCCACCCTGATCATTCCTTCTCCTTTGTCTCAGCAGTACACCTACTGCTCCTAGCAGGAGCTTGCAACTGCCTGGTTGTGTGCCTGGCCCTGCTGGTCAGGGCTGGCCTGGGCCTCCAGCACGCAACACGGCTGCGCACACCACTTGAGCTCTCTCCCGCGTCCCACAAAGTCATTTTCTAGCAGGATGATTATAAATGGTCATTGTTAGAGTTGCAGTTCCCAATACATGTGTTTTTTTTCACTGTTAGGTGTAAAAGGAAGAGAGTGTCTGTTGGACTTGATCGCCACTTTTCTTGTGCTGCAGTTTCTTTGCCTCACCATGGAGCAGGAGGGAATCAATTCACTGATGAAACTGAATGACGCTTCTCTTTTCGGGTAACTTGTACTATGGTATTGAGCAACTCATAAATGAGTTGTACCATTCTTGTACCATTTCTTAAATAAACCTTCCAAGGGGCTCCAGAGACTCTACAACCATAAGCACCACCTTGCCTGTACTCTTCTAGAGGAGTCAGAGGAAACTGCCTATTTTTGGCCTTTTGGGTTGCTCAAGAAATGGGCCTGAGAGTCAGAGCCTTCACAGGAGCCCAGATTGTGTCCTAAGTTTGTGCCTTTCCACTATAGTATATTGATGCTGTGTAATTTTTGATTTTTGTTTGTTCTACACCTGGCAGTGTTGCAGGGGTTACTCCTGGTGGTGCTTGGGAATCTTATGGGATGTGGGAGATTGAATCCAGCTTGGCCATGTGCAAGGCGAGTGCCCTACCCACTGTACTATTGCTCCTGCCCTTCTGACTTTGGGTTTTTTTCCTTTTTTTGGGTCACACCCGGCAATGTTCAGGGGTTACTCCTGGCTCATGCACTCAGGAATTGCTCCTGGCGGTGTTCGGGGGACCATATGGGATGCTGGGAATCGAACCTGTGTCGGCCATGTTGACTGTGTGCAAGGCCCCACCCGCTGTGCTATTGCTCCAGCCCCTTTTGTTTGTTTTTGATGTTGGGGCCAGACATGTTCTCTCAACAACTCCAGGGCCTGGAATAAGAATTCAAAGGAACCCCATGTTCAGACATGCTGAAATATTTAAAGGTTTATATAAAACCATCAAATAATATCCTAAAGAAAGTATGTTCTACCATTTATACTTGACAAATACAACTTAATTTGCACCTGAAAGCTCAGATTCAAATTTAGAATTTTTTTCTTTTTTTCTTTATATTTTTTTTTTTTTGTGGGGGAGAGGCACACCCAGCAATGGGATGCTGGGATTCGAGCCAGGGTCTGCTGCAGCAGAGTCTGAGGCTTACTCCTGTACTATCTCTTTGGCCAACTTTGAAGTTTTTATGTTGTACATATTTTTTCTATGCAAGTTTTTATGTGATAGAATCAAATCCAAGTCAGTTTCATGAAAGAGTCACAGGTATTCTGCAGGTAACCAATAGAATTGAATGTAGGTAGTATAGTAGAAAGGAGAGAGAAATGGAAGTCTAGTTTGAAAAAATTCTTGCGTTTGTACTTAAAGAAATGTATAGAATTTAGATCAAGAAGAATGGGAAGAGGGGCCAGAGAGATAGTACTGGTGTAAGGTATGCCTTGCATGCAAATCCCATGGACTACATATGGTCCTCTAAGCACTCAGGAGTGATCCCTGAGCACAGAGCCAGGAGTAAACACTGAGCACTGCTGATATGGTCCAAAAACCAACCAACCAAACAAAAAAAAAAAAACAAAAATAAATGAAAGAGGATCCTTTTCTTTTTCTTTTTGGGTAACACCCAACGATGGTCAGGGGTTACTCTTGGCGGTGCTGGGGGGACCATATGGGATGCCGGGGATCAAACCAGGGTTGACCATGTGCAAGGCAAATGCCCTATTCACTGTACTATTGCTCTAGACTCTGGAATGAGGGTCTTTAATAAATAGAGAACTGGACCCTGGAATGAGGGTCTTAATAAATAGAGAATAGAAGAAGCTTGCATTACCCGGAAAGTATCAAGGAAATCAGAAAAGCTAAAAACAGTTGGGAGTGGGGACGGAGCAATAGTAGAGCAGGTAGGGTGCTTGCTTTGCATGTGGCTGACCCAGGTTCAATCCCCAGCATCCCATATGGTCCCCTGTGCATCATCAGGAATAATCCCTGAGCATAGAGCTAGGAGTGAGTGACCCACAAACAAAACATAAAGCTGGGAGTGTTAGAATATATTTTACCTACCAAGTACACTTGAAAATGTATCACGTGTTCAGAGCACCACATCAAGTTATAATAACTTTCATAAAATGTGAAAGAGAATGGTGCTTATTAAACAGTTCAATGTTTGAATTAATTTCTTTGATGTAAAGTGCTTGCTTTGGGACCACATTACATGGCATATGTAGTTATATTCTTAAATTGATGGAAACTCTTTTAAAATTTTAGACATATTCCTTGGGCATTTAAGAAAATCAAGAAAGCAAGTGAATGGGTAAGAAAAACTGAAGGACAGTATCCAGGTATCTGCCAACGACTTGAGCTGGGTAAAGATTGGGACTTAGCCACCAAACAACTACTGGGATCCAACCCATAAGCACCGCTTTGCCTCATCACACTTCAGTCGTCTTAATCAAATGAAGCTGTATTTCATACTTTTACCTTACATCATGTTTCAATGTATTAAATAATCAAACATTGATACCTATCACGAAATTATGATTTGATTCAATTTAGCAACAGTCACCCTAAAATAATACTACAACTATTTTAATGCATGAACAAACAATAAATTTTAAGTGACAGTGTTGTGGATTCTTTTAATGTTTTAATAATTTACTTTTCTGTACTGGGGACTCACCCACATACTTTACCACTGAGTCACTGAGTCATATGTCCCATCCTTTTTTTAAATATTCCAAGTGATGGGCCTGGAGCGATAGCACAGTGGGTAGGGTGTTTACCTTGCACACGGACGAGCCGAGTTCGATTCCCAGCATCCCATATGGTCCCCCAAGCACCACCAGGAGGAATTCCTGAGTGCAAAGCCAGGAGTAACCCCTGTGCATCACCGGATATGACCCAAAATGTGTATATATTTATATATATATTCCAAGTTGATGAGAGCTATTTGATGATCCTGGAAGCTCACTTCCCTCTCCCCTTTTAGAGGACTAGTAGAGAACTGTGGGCAGCATTAGACAGATGGGGAGAAAGACTTTGACCTGTGTGATGTATCTACATCCAAGCCCACTTCTGGGTCCTAAGTCACTGCAGACATTGGCTGCAGCTTCATCAGTTTCCTCCTCATGTGGTTGTTTGTTTGTAAATTCCTTGGTATGTGCCCCAGCATTTCTTTCATGGATCTTCCTATCCATATGGCACCAAAACTCTCATCACCAAATCCAAAGTCACCTAGACTCTCTGTGTCCAGAAGTTTTAAGTCCTGCATTTCTATTTGGATCTATAACCTCCTTTGAGAGTATGGGTTTTTTTGTTGTTGTTTTATTTTTTTTCCACACTACTATTTCCAAGTCATTCTCTCTCTTGAAAACACCATAATACTACTGTTTAGTTGAGCCCCTATTTACTTATCCAAGCCTACCTGTTCTCCCCTCTCATTTGCTGAAGAGTTTCCTTTCAGAGCTCACCTGCCTTTCTTTGGAGTGAATTCCAAAATCCTGGACTTACACCACATGGAGCTAGTGGAGCCAGGGAGCATCTTGTGGTCCTGGGAGGATATAGGTGCTTTCCTGCCTGGTGTCCTTATTTTCCTGGGGAACCAGCATTGATTTCTTCTCATGGCTTTCTGTTATTCAGTATCAGCATTGGATTAAATTCTGGCATCCAAAATCACATGTTCCTTGGGTACTAGACCATCACATTTTTTTCTGAAGGCCAATTTTTGGTCAAGAAATTACTGCCTCAGTTTTTTTAAAATTAATTTTTTATTAGTGAAACACTACGAGGTACAGTTGTAGACTGACAATTTTTTGTGCTTGGGTTTCGATTATACAATGATCAAATACACATCCCTCCACCAGTGCCCATTTTCCACCACCATGGATCCCAGTATCCCTCCCACCCCCATACCACCCATCCCACCCTGCTTCTGTGGCAGGGCATTCCCTTTTGTTCTCTCTCTCCTTTTGGGTGTTGTGGTCTACAAAAGATACTGCCTCAGTTTGAGTGGTGGCGGGAAAATTCCAAATAATAATGGTGGGACTGGTGTTGGAATATTGACTGTAATCAAAGTAGAGAGAGTATTATGGAAATTGTCTACCACACAGGCAAGGGAAGGGTTGGGATGTTGGGGAACCTGGGGATTTTGGTAGCAGAAAATGTGAACTGGTGAAGGGATGGGTGTTTGATCATTGTATAAGCAAAACTCAAGCATGAAAGCTTTGTAACTATATTCTCAATAAAATAAGCAAATAAATAAAAAGAAATTTATGTCTAAAATTCTTTATTTCCAGGCTTTGGCGGAGCGCTCACATTTTCCACTTCCTTCCATTAACAGTAACTGTCAGCACTTGTGTGGTGCAATTTGACCAGCCTAAACTTGTGCACACTTCTGGAGAATATCCAGCAACATGACCGTTCACCAGCTCCTGATTCCCCTCGTCTCCTGAGACTGACAACAACACACCAGACATCACTTTACAAAGTTGTTTCTGTCTTACCCGAAGGAATCTCTGAGATAAGATCTGACAAACCCTGGTCCAAACTGGTCACATTTGAGGAATAGGAACTTAATTTTTACGTTTCTTAAATTAACTAAGAAACTTGTTTTGTTTGAGGGCCACATCTGGCAGTGCTCAGGACTTACTCCTGGCTCTGTGCTCAGGTATCATTCCTGGTGTGGCTTGTGGGACTATTTGTGGGGTTAGGGATCAAACCCAGGTCAGCCACATGCAAAGCAAATGCCATACCTGCTGTACTATCACTCCAGCTGAGAAACTTTGACAGTGAATATACATGAGTGTTATGGGGAAAAAATACCTAAAAGCAGGTCCAGGTAAATAGCATAGAGGGTTGGAGTGTATCTGACCCATGGTTGCATTAGACCACCACCCTGCCAGGCCATTGCAGCTTTGCATTGCTGGGCCCCAGCTCTGAAACATCTGTCTTGGTTGACTGAGTATCACAGGAAGTGGTTCCTGAGCCCCCAAAAAGTACATGAAAACAAAGAAAATCTTGTGACTTCATCAGAATTTAAAAGATATTGTCTGCTTTCCATAAATTTAGAAGCCATCCCTTTTCTTTTGCCTTGTTGATGAAACTGGGGCTGTTGCACTATATACACTGACTCACATGTTGGATGTGTCTCATTATTTCCTTTTCTTCCCTCACAATTTCTTAGAAACTTTAAGTTTGATCTAAAGACCTGAGTAGATTAAGGATTAGGAATCACGCTGCCTGGTTCTACTCTTAGTAATGTTCACTTTCCACTAGATTTCCAGTGAACACATGAACTTGTGTTTCTAATCAATGATCTGTGGAGCGAGACTTTTGCGTCCCTAGCAGTAAATCTGGAGAAATAGCACAGCGGGTAGGGTGTTTGCCTGGCACCGCCAACCCGCTTTTGATTCCTCTGTCCCTCTCCAAGAGCCGGGCAAGCTACCAAGAGCATCCCACCCACATGGCAGAGCCTGGCAAGCTCCCCGAGGGATATTCCATATGCCAAAAACAGTAACAAGAAGTCTCACAATGGAGACGTTACTGAGCCCTCTTCAGCAAATCCATGAACAACGAGAGGACAGTGGCACAGTAGAAAATCTAGCTGGAGAGAATGGGGGGACGGGGTGTAAGGTGCTTTTCACGTACATGGCAGACCCTGGTTCCACGCATAACGCAGGCCCCCTGCGACACCAAGCAAGCACACCCAGCTACTGCCACCCTGCCAGCCCCGCACGATGCGAGGAAACGTCTCCGCGTGGGCACGGGCACGACCCTGGTGTCAGAAGCAAAGGGCAAAGGGCAGGGAAGACGACCCAACAAGCATCTCAAAAACCCAGTTGGCTGCCACACAGGCTTTGTTTTCTCACTTATAATTCAAAATGAGGAAATAATTTTATCGTTAAAGGGAATTTTACCCCCAGCAACTTTGGGCGACTCTTTCACAACGACTCGTTATCTGAACAAAATCGTATCCCGTCCTCCGACATTCTCAAAGCGCAGACACACCGGGACACGAAGAGTCCTGTCGCGGCTGGTGGTGGCCGTCCTCCCTCAGCTCTCAGCCGAGGGGCACGCGCGTCACCTCTCCGGGAGGAACTGTCGGCGCGTTAACGAACCCTAGCTCCAAGCGGGCGGGGCAGGTCCCTGTCTCCGCCCGGGTCCGCCCTGGGGGACGCCTCTGGCATCCGCAGCCTCGGGAACCGCGGCGACCGCCACGGTCCGCGCCACCTCCAGCCCGCAGGGCCCTTCCAAGCGCAGCGCAACGAGCCCCTCCCACCTCCAGGGCCCGCCCCTCCACTTCCGCCCCGTCCCCTCGGCCCGCCCACCAGCTTCCCGTAGGTTTTGCAGGCGCCAGGCCGCCCGCCTTGGCTTGATTGGCTCGTGTACGTGTCGCTCCGGGTTCCCAGCTCTCCATTGGCTGATTTCCTCTTGTTGCGTGACGTCACTGGCGTAGGGGCAGGCGGAACGCCGAGCGCGAGGTGTAGCTGGCCTGTGTCGCAGCCGCTTTTCTTCGGCGGTTTGCTTGGCACCGGCGATGGCGGAGCCGTCGCCGTCGGCGGAAGATGCGGAGGGCGCGGGGGAGGCTGAAGTTCCCGTTTCAGGTGTCAACGGGCATGCTTATTCGTCCGAGGCGGAAGGCGAAGACGATGGGGCCGCGGGGGACGGGCCAGACGTGGCGCCGAAGAGAACGGAGAGCGTGGACGGGGAGGACGTGTTCGAGGTGGAGCAGATCCTGGACATGAAGATCGAAGAGGTGCGCGTGAGAGCGGCCGGCTGGAAGCGAGCGGCTCTCGGGGCCGGGGTGTGCGGCGGGACGGGTGCCGGGCCCCCGGAGGCGGCGGCCGGGGGGGAGACCCGAGGCGGCTGTGAGGGGTGAGGCGGCGGCCGGGGGTCGAGGGCCGAGGGGAGGCCTGAGGCGGCTGTGGGGGGGCGGAGGCCGAGGGGAGGCCTGAGGCCGCGTCCGGGGTCGGGGATTGGACTGCAGGCCGGGGGAGGGGAGGTGTGACGCGGCGGACCGGTGCCAGTTGAGGTGCGACTCGGTGTGCGCGGGGGGGGGGGGGGGGGGGGGCGGCGCGGCGGAGGTGTGAGGCGGTCGGCCGGGGCCGGGGGTCTGCGGGGACACGGTGTGGCGGCGGCGGGCCCTGGGTTGGGGAGCGGGCGGGGCGTGTCTTCCCCCGGTTGGGTGCTGTGCTCTGGCGGGGACCAGCACCCGTTACCTTCAGAGTGGGCGCCCCTTCCTTGGTCCGCTGCCAGCTGCTCACGTGTTCATTCTTCGGCACTTGTCCAGCCACCGAGCGTATTTAGCACGATTGCTTACGTGCACAAGTTCTTTCAGTCCAGTGGGTGAGAAGTCATTGAAGTCCAGTGCCACCTCCGTAGTCTGTAGTTCCAGTGCAGTAAAGATCGAGCTTTTTTGTTTAATTTTACCAAATAGATTGAAGTGCCTTGAGATAAAAGACTAATTTTAGATACTTTATATGTCACCTGCATCTGAAATAGTCAGAACATAGAATTAAGATGATGGATGGTGGGCAGATAGTACAGGGGAAGGCACTAGCCCTGCACATGGCAAATCCCAGCACCGCGTATGGCCCGCAGGCCTTACCGGGAGAGATTCTTGA